TTGATACAAAAGGTACGAGTGGTGCAAAGAGCCATGGAAAGATACATGCTTGGCATCACAAAACAAGACAGAAGGATCCACACATGGATTAGAGAACAAACAAAAGTATATATCATCAAGAGAGCAAAAGAATTGAAATGGAAATGGGATGGACACATAGCAAGAAGACCTGATGGCAAGTGGACCAAGGCAGTCATAGAATGGATCCCTCTTGATAAAAAGCATCCATAAAAGAGACCTAAAACAAGATGGATTGACGAAATCAGCAAGTATTGCAGGCCCAACTGCCAAAAGAAAGCTTAGGACCATATTGGTTGGAAACATGAGAAACAGGCCTTCATCCTGCAGTAGATAGACAATGGCTAAAAAATGATTGAGAATTGTTGTCTGGGATATTATGTGGCAAGTACTTGTCTGTTTGAATTCAGAAGTCCCAGAGCAATTTACATACTTCATTTTCTATTACAGTTCTTGCTTGCAGGCAAATGATATTTCTTGCAGAACTTTCACCATTGTTGCTACTTTGATACTTTTCCATGTCATTATTTGTAATCAATCTGTGCAATCTTCTTACAAAAGCTGGTCCACTGTTTCTTCAACTTCTTTGCAAAGGTGGGACTTACTCTCTATTGCTGTGCTCTCAATTTTAACTTTATATGTATGTAAGGACCTACCTCAGCTAAGCCTCCCAAGAAAACAGAACTCTTGAAACAGGCATTGTCTCAAAAGGAACTTTTATTAGGGGCTAACGACAGTAGAGAATCAAGGCGGAATCTGAGAGAAAAATCTGTGAAGCAATATATTAAAAGCAACATTCAATACTCCTCCCCCCAGAATCTCAGTGTTCGTTTAAATCCCAGCCAATCCACAGGTGGCATCATGTTTTAGTAATTGGTCTTTTTGGTGGGCTCTTCAAGATCTTTCTCACTTTCGATTTCTTCTGGCTCCAAGCACAAACCATCGCTCAGATAAAAGAGAGACATTCCATCCCCTGAGGGAAGGGCATCCTGCAGACAGTGCAAAACAATCCCAAAAGCTCCTCCCTCCCAATGACAGGGCACACAAAAAGGCTACAGAAAAAGGAGAAATGGCCATAGGGTTAAAATTCATTTCTTTGGGGACCTGACAATGTGTTTGTTCTTAAGGCTTGGTCTTGTGCAGCACAATCAGCTCTTTGGTCTCTTTTTTAAATTTTCCTGTTATAGCTGTTGCATAACTGGCTGCTATTTATGTGGTCTGCTAATTTTTTTTTAATATACTGAGCATGTAATACTTTGCCTTGCCATATCTCTTTCTTTCACGTCTTTTCTTCTTGTCATTTGGTCTTTCTTGTAGACCACTTTGGTCTTTCCACAACTCAATAAGCCTTCATGGTATACTAGCTTTAAAGCATCTTCTTCACTATCCTTCAGATATTTTTTCAACGCCCTTTTTTCTTGTTTAACTGTCATGTACCTGCAACATTCCACACACACCTATTTTTCTTGATAAATAGAATCTGTCCACATTGCTATGAGGATGAAGGACATAATTCATGGTCATTATTTTTCTGGTTTTCCTTTTTAGGGCTTTTAGTTTTGCTTGAGTCCAGTCCACTATTCCAGCCGTGTATCTGAAGACTGGAATTGGCCAGGTATTAATTGCCTTGATGGTATTTCCTCCACTGAGTTTGGATTTTAAGATCTTCTTCATTCCCTTGATGTATTCACTTCTAACCTTTTTGTTTTTACTTCAGTGTGCTTGATGTTGTCAGCTTGAAGGATGCCCAAGTATTTATAGTTATTGTTTTCATCTACTCTTTTGATAGCATTTCCATAGGCATCTTGATTTCTTCAGTTTTCACCAGTTTCCCCTAATTGATACGAGACACAGCACATTTGTCCAGTCCCTACTCCATTGCTATGTCTTGGCTGCATATATAGACAGTGCTGAGCAGGGATTCGATATTAGATGGTGCTTTTCCATACACCTTCAGTTCATGTAGAGGAGATGGGATTGCTTGGGATATGTTGATGTTTGATTCCTTTTGTCTGTTTTAGTGATAGCTACATGGTTTGCCATTTATTTTTTCATCTAGAACATTCAGTTTTGTTCATAAAACTCTCTGTATTTTAGCAAGATAAAAAACTCTAGCGACTGCTTATATGAGCTTCTCTATCCTAAATATTTTATTCATATACATAAATTATTAGAATATATGTAGGAGAAAACAGATAAATTGAAGAAGAATTTAGAAAGGAATCCATCATTTCAGTATGAGAAATAAAACAAAGTTTTTTTTAAAAAAAAATATGTAATACATAATTAATGGCATATTCAGACTCCAAATGAGATAAACACATTGAAGAATGGACTAGATATATGCATAGAAGACAAACTCATCAATCACTTTTATACAGGGAGAAAGCAGAACTATTTAACTCGTTTTTTGCATCTGTCTTTACACAAAGGGAAAAAGTCAGACCAACCTATCAAAAATAGTGCCATAAAAACAGAATAGAAACACAAATTAAGATAGGCAAGAAAAAGCACCTGTCCAGCCTAGACAAGTTCAAATCACCAGGACCAAATGGAGTACATCCCAAGGTTCTCAAGGAACTGGCAGATGTGATCTCAGAACCACTGAACTATATTTTTCAAAGATCCTGGAGCACTGGGGAACTACCAGAGGACTGGAAAAGAGCTGATGTAGTTCCCATCTTCAAAAAAGGGAAAAAAATGGATCCAGGAAATTACAGACCTATCAGCCTGATCTCAATACCTGGGAAGATTCTGGAAAAGATAATCAAACAACGAATCAGCAAACGCCTACAGGCAAACGAAGTCATTATTAAAAGCCAACACGGGTTTGTCAAAAACAGATCATGCCAAACAAACCTTACTGCATTCTTTGACCAAGTGACAAAATTAGTGGATCAGAAGAATGCTGTGGATATAATTTACTTGGACTTCAGTAAGGCATTTGACAAAGTAAATCACAACCTATTACTTGATAAGATAGAAAAATGCAGGTTAGACAGCATCACCACCAGATGGATCCGTAGCTGGCTGACCAGCCGTACTCAGCATGTGGTCCTCAATGGAACCACAGCTACATGGAGGGAAGTGTGTAGTGGAGTGACCCAGAGCTCTGTTCTGGGCCCAGTGCTCTTCAACATCTTCATCAATGATTTGGACAAGGGGATAGATGGGAAACTCATCAAATTTGCAGACAACACCAAGCTGGCAGAAATAGCCAACACTCCAGAAGACAGGCTTAGGATACAGGAGGATTTGGACAGACTTGAACACTGGGCGCTATCTAATAAAATGAAATTAATGGTGAAAAAAGTAAGGTTCTACATTTAGGCAAGAAAAACCAAATGTACAGGTATAGTATAGGTGGTTCCTTGCTCAATAGTAGTAACTGTGAGAGGGATCTCGGAATCCTAGTGGACAATAATTTAAATATGAGCAGCAGTGTACTGCAGCTGCCAAAAAAGCCAACACAGTGCTAGGTTGCATTAACAGAGAGATAGAATCAAGATCACGTGAAGTATTAATATACTCTACAATGCCTTGGTAAGACCACACTTGGGAGTACTGCATCCAGTTTTGGTCACTACAATGTAAAAAAGATGTTGAGACTCTAGAAAGAGTACAGAGAAGAGTAACAAAGATGATTAGGGGACTGGAGATTAAAACATATAAGGAAAGGTTGATGGAATTGGGTATGTCTAGTTTAATGAAGAGAAGGACGAAGGGGGGACATGATAGCAGTGTTCCAATATCTCAGGGGCTGCCACAGAGAAGAGGGAGTCAAGCTATTTTCCCAAGCTCCTGAAGGCCGGACAAGAAGCAACGGATGGAAACTAATCAAGGAGAGAAGCAACCTAGAACTAAAGAGAAACTTCCTGACAGTTAGAACAATTAACCAGTGGAACAACCTGCCTCCAGAAGCGGTGAATGCTCCCATGCTGGAAGTTTTTAAGAAGAAACTGGACAGCCATTTGTCCGAAATGGTATAGGGTTACCTGCCTGAGCAGGGGGTTGGACTTGATGACCTCCAAGATCCCTTCCAAATTTTATTATTTTTATTATTGATCATCGCACAGTCAGCCAGATGTTCAGACTGGATTTGGCATTTTGTCTACCTATCGAGTCCTTACCCAGGACCTGGGATAGGCAGATGTGGATGTTTGATGGTATTACAGATATCGTCGCAGGATGGAAGCAGTTCCTAGTAAGGCCATCTTTTGCAATTAACTAATAGCGAATTTGTCAATGCCAATGGTGTTCAAGTGATGCTCCAGTTGTTTTGGGATTGCATCCAAGGCGCCTATTATTATTATTATTATTATTATTATTATTATTATTATTATCATCATCAAAGACTTATAGAGCCTCCTTTATAAGAGAATTATGCTATGGAATCATGGTTGCTACCTTTATGACCTTACCATGGATTTTTTTAGACAGAACCAAGCATGCTCTGTAAAAGATCAGATGGCTGTAGAGTCTGCCTGATGGGACTCTTTTTTAAAGTAATGCATGGCTGAGATACAAAATCAAACTATATCTATTACAAGAGAATACCAGCCAGTTTGCTTTCAATTACTTCAGCTATAGCCTTTGAAACACCCAGGATGTAAACACATTTATAAAAGGAGACTGCTAGTCTCAGATTATTTTGTTGTGAATGTTACAGCAGTTGAACTATTCCATCAGTTTACAATATATGTAAATGTTTACACAAGTTCTGAACAATAAAATATTTTCACATAAGTATTCCAGCTTGGAAAGAATGATATACTGTCAAAGTTCATGAGATCTCTGAATAGCAATCCTATATTAAAAGATCAAACAAAACCATTGCAGATCATCTGGAACACTGCAGGGAATAGTAGGTTAAACAACTTACTGTTCTATGATAAATGTAACAAGGAAGGTATCTTTATATATATATTTTTAAACTGTGTTTGATGGAAAACATTAAAAATAGATATGTTTATAAGCCTGACCTGTCTGTATGTTCCTTCTAACAAGGTGTCCAGATGTTGAAGTGGAGCTGGAGTTTTATCTTTAAACCTTGTCAGTAAACGCCGTTCAATAGCTCTAAACTGTATGGCTCTTTCAGCTAATAGTTGCTCATACTTCACAGCATTCAAACGAAGCTATAATTAAGAAAAGTTTTCAAAGAAAGAGTTAATGGTATTCTAGAACACAAAATATATGGTGCTACAATTGCTGCAAAAGTCCAGTTATTGGTTTTCCATGGTCATTATGAAAGCAATATTATACACTCATCATTAATAAACTAAATAAATGTCAGTTATTACTGAAACTAAAAATAATTAGTTCAACCCGAACTACAAATATTCTCCTTCATTAGTACTAAAAATAATTTTTGAACTCAAGGTAATACACAATAATGTTATGGTTTTCATAACTAGCAGACTAAGAGATACCATTCTAGTTTTCCTTGAATAATCATTACATTTTAAAATATTTAAAGTATTGTAAAATATTTTTACAAAGAGGAAAGCTAAATATTAAAACTCACTACATAAAAGTTTATACTTATTTTTTTAGAAGTAAGCAAGCATATTTGGGACTTATTCCCAAAGAAGTATTTAATAATAAAAAGTTTTCAATAATTAAATTGCCATTTAGCAATTCAAAAAATACTTTATAGAGTATTTTGGTATGCATTCTTGCTCTCAAATAATCACTCTAATAAAAATTAGAAGTCATAACAACTAAAGAAAACATAAACATTGATAATCATAAATCACATATATTTATGAACATACCTCAAAATGATGATCAATTATGTCAAAATAGTCTTGTAAAGGGATTGGACCAGAAAAAGTGCATACAAAATCTTTGTAATTTTGCCTCCTGAAATGTTGCTCAAGACGAAGAGTGAGTTCTTTTGTAATTAGCCAAATGTCTTCTAATTGTTCACTTTGGATTCTGTAACGCTCTTCAAAATAAAAATAAATGCAAAAATTATTTGCTCTTCAGCTCTAAGTGGTATAAATCATCAAAGTAATGTTTTATTGATGCAATAAATGCAATAAAACCTCTGAAAGCTGATGACCCAAGGGACTGAAGGAAAGTGGTCAACATATGGAGATGGTCAAAATACAAAACAACTGTACTGATATGTACATGTGACTCATTTTATTGTACAATTTTTATTTTAAAATGTCATACAGAAACACACACAGGAAAATCATTCATGCAGTATGGTATCATACTAAGTCAATACATTTACATATGTATTGTTTTCTCATAGATTTTAGTCCGTTTTTTATTTTTTTTATGAAGGTAAGCAGAGAAAGTACTCCCAACGCTGGCTACTGTATGTCACTCAGCATACCTGGACATTTTTCCATGGCAAACAATTTTAATTGCATTATTAAATGACTGACATCCTCTTCTTTCAGAATATCTGCAATTTCTGTGTCCTCCTCACTTAATTGTTCATTTAATTCTTCTGCTTCATCAGTTGCTTCCAGCACTTTTCTGCTAGGTTGTATCTCAGTCAATACTAATTAGAAAATTGCTTCTCGGTCAGGTTCATTGCAGATTGCCACACTGTTATCCATTGCAACAAAATCTTCAAAATCTACTCTCTCAAATTCCCCCATGGGAGGTAGGCTATTTAGCTGGGATGCAACATCTTGTTCTTGAGTTGTAACAAATCCAGCTTTCTTGAAGCACTTCTGTACTGTTTCAGGCTGAACTTTATTCCAAGCAGAACTAATCCAGAGAACAGCATCCAGAGCAGTAATTGATGCAATGGATGATTTTACTTCTGCATACGGACCATAAGTTTACGTTTTAGCAATTACCCACTGCAGAAGCTGGGCTCAATAGTGCATTTTGAAAGTTTTCATTATGCCTTGGTCGAGAGGTTGAATTTTGAATTTATGTTTGGAGGCAAAAAATTCAGTTTTGTATTTGTGAGATAATTTACTTGGGGAGGACTAGAAGAATTGTCCACTACAAGGAGAATGGACCATTTCTTCTTCATTTCTCAGACAATACCTCTTATCCATTCCTCAAATAGGGCACCAAATCTGTGCAGATTTGTTAGATTTCCAGGTGACAGGAAGTTCTTTGGGCTGCAGGTTCTTGAATGAGCATGGCTTTGCTGATTTTCCAATCACCAAAAGTTTTAGTTTCTCTCCAGTTAAGCTAGGAAGAGCTTAACTTTCTTCAGAAAGCTTTCCACTCTTACATTTGTCATCCCTCATAACGAGGCTCCTGTCAGGCATAGCCTTGAAAAAGAGTCCTCACTTGTCAGTGTTAAAAATATCATCATCTTTAAAGCCACTGGTGAAGTCCAGAAACTTTTCAATGAATTCTTCAACAACTTCTACTGGAACTTCACCAGATTCACCACACAATACTTTCTGGGAGATTTTATGTTGCAGTTTAAATTTCTTGAACCAACCAGTTGATGCTTGGAAATCTGATACCCCAAGCTCCTTTGCAAATATTTTAGCAAACGGCCCTCATTTATTTGAACCAACATGTTCTGCTTCACTGACTTCATCCAGTGATTTTTTTTTTCCTTTTCCGTTGTAATCTCCACTTTCTTTACCATATCTTTCCAGGTACTCTTCTTTAGGTTTCTGAATATTGCTTAGTATTGTCTTGCTGACATCAAAATGTTCCACTTTCTTTAGCTGCTATTTTCTAGAAAACATAAAATATCAACCTTCTCCTTCAATGTCAGCTCTTTCAGTTCCTTCCTTTTTGCCATCATGACTTAATTTGCATAGAGAAAAACCTGGTTCTTTCTCATATGACTGCTTCGTAATTGTCTCTAAAATTGTACTTAAACATTGTTTGTTACACTTTAAAACTGTGTTTTCTTTCTTTCACAAGGGTTACTAAATACAAATTGCATGTTGTTGATGATGCTTTGCTTTGATAGTCACTACAAGGTAAAACAAGTAAAACAACTCATATATGTTGTATGTATATTTGTTTCATTTTACCACTGGCTATTTTTTATTGATCCTAAAAAAGGAAAAAGATTTGAAATGGAAAAAAATTAAGTCTTTTTTATTATGGAATGAATCCATAATTATTGTTAAATTGCCAAATCAGAGTCAAAAATATTGTATTCTTTGATATTCTTCTTGAAAGAAATTCATTGATACCAATTCTGCATTTTACCTCTTTTGCTCTTGGTGCAGAAGGGACTCAACTGGTCAAGTTTTAGGGAGTAAATTAATACCATGGGCAAAGTCCAGGTGGTCAAGATACAACTTAAAGAGGTGGTCAGTATAGAAAGGTTGGCTTTCTATTATGTACATATAGTGTATGTCTAGTCTACGAAAATTAAATCTGCTTAGGGAGGTGGTCAGTGTAGGAGGTGGTCAACAATTGAGGTTTTATTGCTTCACATTTCACTGAAATTCTAATTTATGACCATTTTGGGACATAAATGTATTAATAAAGTTTTATTCAGTTCACAGTTGTAATTAAAAACTTATTAAATCTTGAAATAATGGGCTATTGAACTCAGTTAGCGACTGGATCAGAAGCATTAAAATATAAGTAATGTTTATAATCAATATGTACTGATCTTGCTAGGTCTGAGAGAGCCAAGTAAAGAGTGCAAATGTCTTGATTGGAAGGTGACAGTACTATTGCCAACAATTTTGCATTTTATAATTCTAGAAACAACACCAACAGTCTGGAGTACTCCAGGAAAGAGGCAGAACAAAGTCTATTCCATATAGATTTCTTCATTATATAATAACTAGAAGAATACTATATTTTATTTCTGTATGTTAATACTTTTCAAATATAAGCAAATGCAAGGAAAAAACTCACTTCTTAAAATAATTGTTGTGATATTAGTTCTTAAAATATTTCACTTTATTATATTATGTTACATGCCACAGCTGTAGTCAGAGTTATACCTTCCTTCTTTGTCTAATAACCTAATACTACCAACATTAATCAATCTAGTATTTCTATATTTATTTCATCACATTCTCCCACAATTAACTTATTTTATTCAAAAAAATATCTTTTCAAGTTAATTTTAAACACTGATATAAAATTTAGATTCATAATTGAGATTAAGAATTTCTGCCTTGTGCTATACTAGTAAAAGTTTTGTAATTACTGTGTGGTGGTTACATATAATTCCTTAATGAAAACAAACCATAAAAAGAATTAGCCATAGAATATTATGATTTCAATATTAAAGAAATGTAGCATTCACTCAATACTTCTGAAAGTACAGTAGAAAAATAAGAAAGAATAAGAAAGAAAAATAAGAATAAGGGAGGATTTTTTAATATTCTACTTGTGAAACCTTTAGCCATTCAAGAAAAAAATAGCAAAAGCTGTAGAATATTACTTACTAAACAATTTCATAAATCAATATTCTAAGATTACATTTCTACTGAAATAATCGCCAGAAAGTAAATTTCATTGATAGGATAATGACAAATTCTTTTCAACATATAAAGGAAAAAATGTTTTATTTAAAAAACATGTCTTTTACAAACAACCCATCTGTTAATGATAACAAGCAACCCTAATTTTATTACTTCTAAAAATAATTCTAGCATAATGATGGCACATTTTTAACATGATTTTTGAAATACTAGTTATTTAAATTGAAGATGGAGTAAATTTAAGTTTTAATACTTGATATAACTATTGATCTATTTTATTCGTAAGTTTTTAAGTTGAATATATTTTAGAAAATATATATAATAGACACATGAAGGTTCATATGTATATTATACATAGCATGGGTTACCAACCAGGGATACTTGCACCCCCTGGGGGTGCGAGATGGTATTCCAGGGGGTGCGAAAACTTGGGTTTTCAAAATTATAGTGTATATGCATAATTCATTGCCATTATTTCAAACTTTTGTAAAGGCTGCGAGAATACATCAGAAGTGTTCTAGGAATGCGGAGTATAGAAAAGGTTAAGAACCACTGATATACAGTGAGAGAAAAAATTATTTGATCCCATGCTGGTTTGTACATTTGCCCACTGACAAAGAAATAATCAGTCTATAATTTTAATGGTAGGTTTATTTTAACAGTGAGAGACAGAAAAACAACAACAAAAACCCAGAAGAACGCATTTCAAAAAAGTTATAAATTGGTTTGCATTTTAATGAGTGAAATAAGCATTTGATTCCCTATCAATCAGCAAGATTTCTGATTCCCAGGTGTCTTTTATACAGGTAACGAGCTGAGATTAGGAGCACTCTCTTAAAGGGAGGGCTCCTAATCCCAGTTTGTTACCTGTATAAAAGACACCTGTCCACAACAACAATCAATCAATCAGATTCCAAACTCTCCACCATGGCCAAGACCAAAGAGTTGTCCATGGATGTCAGTGACAAGATTGTAGACATACACAAGGCTGGAATGGGCTACAAGACCATTGCCAAGCAGCTTGGTGAGAAGGTGACAACAGTGGTGTGATTATTCAAAAATGGAAGAAACACAAAACAACTGTCAATCTCCTTTGGTCTGGGGCTTCATGCGAGATCTCACCTCGTGGAGTTTAAATGATCATGAGAACATTGAGAAATCAGCCCAGAACTAAGGGAGAAAGGTTTGAGACCCCTGCGATATACAATATATACAGGGAAAGTATCTTTCCATGTACTGTATATTGCTATACCAACAGCCCTAAAATTCACAGATTAGATCCCACTGAAGTACTAATTAAGGTCCAAGTTACTTAAGTTACTAAATTACCAAGTCAGGTAGCTGCTGACACACAGGTAAAATAGGCAGCCATTAAAAATAGTAGCTATTGTTTCACACAGAAAATGATTAAACAAGAAGAAATAATAGTACATAACATTATTTCTCAGAAATATGTATTTTATATAAATACATAAATAAATATATATTTTATATAAATACATAAATAAAATTGTATACTGATATTTTGTGTGTGTGTGTGTGTGTGTGTGTG